GTCGAACAAGTGGCCGCTGCCGACGAACCGAGTGTGTTGGCCGAGCCGGCAGCCGCGACGGAGGCGACTGTCGAGGCCGAGGCAGCTGTTGAAGCGCCGAGTGCCGACGCTGCCGTCGAACAAGTGGCCGCTGCCGACGAACCGAGTGTGTTGGCCGAGCCGGCAGCCGCGACGGAGGCGACTGTCGAGGCCGAGGCAGCTGTTGAAATGTCGAGTGCCGACGCTGCTGTTGCTTTGTGTACGGTAGTGCGGTTGTGAAGTCACTTGGAGAGCAGTTGGTCGCGGTTGCGTTATAGTTGTTAGTCCTATTTATGCTTCTTGTAATATTTACTCTTCATGTTGTTCAATTGATTTGTCTTGTCATTAATGATATGTTGACCTCTTTGGGATCTGCAGGTTATGTCGTTTGTCATGCATGCTGTTGAAAATCTAAATTGGCATCTGTGACGTTGACAAGCACCCTGGTGGGATGAATGGTTTCGTGTGTCAATGAGCACAGGCGCTGCATCGTGTCCGCTCCAGGCATGTATCGCGAAGAACCGTGTTTACTTTGGCACATGCGATACGAACCCTTCCGTGCTCGACTGTTGAAGTGAATGGAGAAACACTAGAGGTATTTTTGGTATATTCCGTGGATATCTTCGCCATTCCTTTGCTTCGCTCGCACGAGCTGCGCGATCATGTTTGTTACTACAGCTCGATTGTTCTCTGCTTCCGCAATGCGTCGGTCGACTGGCCACGCGTTGGCAGCACTGGCAGGATCTTGTCGAATAACCGGCCTTGCACTTGTCGACTTTTGTTGCGCGCTATCGATCTTCCGACGTAAGTAGTTGCACATATGCACGACACATGTCGACCCACTGCAGTGGGATGCGTGGAAGCACAGGAGACGAAAGATCTTGGCGCAATGAATGCACTCCTCGATCTCGTCGATGCGGGACGTTGTCCGGCGTTTCGTGTAGCAGTTGAGGAAGTGGTGGATCGACGACCGGATCTTCTGGCATCTCCCTTTGTGCTCAACACACTCGGGCAGGCGGCACGTAGACGCATGCACCAGCGCTTCGTTGTACACTTGCAGCTTCTGCTCCTCCGGTGTCGCCATGATACACGGGAGGCGCCTGATGCTGGAGAATTGAAAATGGGACAATCACCACTATACGGATAACTAGGAGACAGTATCCGTATCTCCTGAACCACATGGCCAAACCATCAACAAAACCAGGGCGACCACGTCAACTCCACCTTCTGTCCGAACGGCCTGCGCGCATGCCGCTGTCGAGAGATGCATGGAGCCCTCAGAGAATGAAGACGGTTGAGTTACTTCGACGCTTCTCGTGATTTTGGTGCACTCCAAGTCTGGGACTAGTGTAAGGATGCCGAATCCGCCTTGCATGACCCCAGCCCGGTCGGCACATTGGAAAGGTTTCAGGTATGCATCGCGTTGCACGATCGTTCGGCGGGTGGTCAATCTAAACGGATCTCAGATTTCCAAGCATCCACGTGAAAGTAGACTCGTCCTGTCGTTGCCTGTGGCTTGGAGATCCGTGTGCCGCCAGCACCATCGAGAAATTCCAGATCGTCGTATGTAAAACGCAGCCCGATATGGCGAACAGCCACTGCGCCATCCTCCCTCGCACGGAACAATTGTCCAGGATCGGTTCGTGCAGGCTATCACGTGCCACCACCCTCGTTGGCAAACATTCCCTTCATGAACATGCATTCGAACAGATCTGTCCCAGGTTCCAGTGGCCAAGCCTCCACTACCTTTTGTGCTTCCATGATGAGTCAGCCCTGCCTCTTCAGCGCTATGGCCCTTGCTTGCGAGATGCGCTTGGCAAGCGCTCACGGTCTTGCCATGAAAAATATTTATCCGGACGGCCATAGTCGCTACAGTCCGGATACGCGGCATTCGGACCGACCTCCCTTTCACTTTCCCAGTTGAAACCCCCCTCCCTGCTCGACGCTAGCACCGTTTGTGTAACGCCAGCCACACCATGTCCGAAACGCAGCCCCTCCAAGACATGCTCAATCGATTGCATGAGAGAATAGCGCAGCTTGAGGCGCACTTGGGCTTCAAGACGCCTGCGCGCGACGCGAGTAGTGGCAGCAGTGCCGCCCCCGTCGTCGAACTCGCGCCCCGCATCACTGCCTATGACGAGTACACTGCGTCGTTCTTGACGCCGTTCCTTGCTGCAGCCGACAAACTTGGAGAAGAAGGCAAGACGTTTGGCGGCATCGTCAAGAGCGCGTTCGAAGGCCAGCGCACGTACCTCTTGGCCGCCAGCATGTCCAAGAAACCAGCGACGAGCCCTGTTCCAGCGCTCCTGGCGCCAATCCAAGAAGCCATCAAGAGCGTCAACAAATTGCGTCTCAAAGGCAACGAATTTGTCAACCACCAAAAGATGCTCGCCGAGGGCATCCAAGGACTGGGCTGGTTGTGCGTCGAGCCGGCCCCAAAGCCCTTCATCGAGTCGTACATTGGAGGCGCCGACTTTTGGGGCAACAAGATCCGCGTCGAATTCAAGACCACCAAGCCTGAACACATCGACTTTGTCGCAACGTTCAAGACGTTGCTCACCGAATTGATGGCTTACGTGAAAGAACACCACACTACTGGTGTGACGTGGAACCCGCGTGGCGGGAATGTGGACGAGTTCTCGGCGTCCAGTGCGGCGCCGGCTGCTACTCCAGCTCCTGTTGCGACCCCGGCAGCTCCCAAGGAGCCCAAAGCTGCGGCCCCTGGTGCTCCCACCGGCTTGAACGCTTTGTTTGCTGGTGCAGTAGCTGTGTGTGTCTCCATAGCACGGGTCATGAAATAGCTGCGATTCCTAGGTATCAAGTCGATCGATCAAAGCAGCGGCAAGACGGCGGGTCTGCGCACCGTGACCAAGGAACAGCAAACCTGGCGCGCTGAATACAAAGCTGAAGGAGCGGCTCCAGCTCCCGCCCCCAAGCCTACGGCCGCCAAGCCTGCCGCGGCACCTGCTATGCCCACTGGCGAGCCCGTGTGCGAGCTGCGTGGCGGCAACTGGTATGTGGCGTACCAAAAGGACGTGTTCACGGTCAAGGACGTCACGATGAAGCAACAAGTACTCCGATGCTGTCATGGGATCTCGTGCTAATATGATCATGACGTAGGTATACATCTTTGGGTGTGTGAACGCGACGATTTTGATCGAAGGCAAGGCGAAAACGATTGCGATGGACAAGTGCGTCAAGACCAAGCTGCTCTTTGACGCCGCCGTGTCGGCGATTGAAATCGTCAACTGCAAAAACGTCCAAGTTCAGTGCAAACAGCAAGGTACTTCTGTCGCGTTTGCCGACCTTGAATCTGACGGGAACGATGTGCCTGCAGTGCCTTCCGTGGCCATTGATAAAACGGACGGCGCGCTCGTCTACCTGTCGTACGAAGGCCGCAACGCGCAGATTGTGACGTCCAAGAGTTCCGAAATGAATGTGGCGTTCCCAGCGTCCGCCAACTCGGAGGACTACATCGAGAGACCGATCCCGGAACAATTTGTCCATCGCATCACGGACGACAACACAGTCACGTCCACCGTATCGGACCTGTACTCGCACTAATTTTGGTGCCTGTGTATACATGGGGGACAGCTGAATACAGATACCAGCTCGTGATAAAACTTGCGCTGTTCTGCGTCCTCAGCATAAGGACTAAACAGACGGATCGACCCTTCCGTCGACATGTCGGGCGTTATTCAAGTCGCAAAAGTGGATAGAGACTGGAGGAACAGCGCTGGACTGGCTGTCCATCGCGATGGTAGTTGTGGAAATGACACCAAGTTGATACCAGTTGGGACGTGACAGTACTGAACGCTGCGGTGTGGGCAATGCGTTGGCCTAAAGGAATCGAGAATTTGCGTCCATGAGCGACTCGGAAGCTCGGGGTCGAACGGGCAGCTCCGAATCGACCTCGATTCACAGCAGTGCGCACAGACATGTTCTCATCGACACCTGGGTTCGCGTCAGTTCGCCCTGCCTGGACAATTCCACTAACGCTATGTTTCTCTCCTGCATTACGCCAGCTCGGAGACCATGTCGATCGATCGACAGGTGCAACGGTGGTCGAGTCCATCCAGGTCCATCGTTCAACCTCAAGTCGAGCGATGTGGCGGTCAGCATGGAAGCCAGCTCGATCCAACACACGAATATAAAGCCCATGGCGTGTGGTGTCGAATGCGTCGAGGGCGAATGTCGTCCGATGGAGGGACATCGTCGTCCCATTGTTGACTACAAACTGTTTGGCGGTGACACGGCGGTTTGTAATCCAGCCAACAGACGGGTGCTCCAAATAATGCTTAAATTTGGATGAATTTTCGTTGAAAAATCCATTTTTGTTTGTGAAATTTGAGCACTCCAGCCGACAGCCATGGGATTGGTGAAAATGAACCAATCCCATGGCGTTTCGAAGTTGCACTTGAAGTTCGAAGTTCGCTCGGTGGGCTGCTCGAAGGAGCGATGGGGTCATTTTCCGAATTGGGCCGATCCAAGCACCATGACCAAGCGCTTGAAAGTCCACTCATACCGCGGTAAGCGGGACGTCCCGATCACGCTGTCTTCTCCTACGCAAGTAATTTGACGGCCATGATAGAGGTGTGCATCATTGGCGTGTCCCGCACTCCCATCGGGTCTCTCCAAGGCTCGCTGGCCTCCAAGACCGCCGTCGACCTTGGAGCTCTCGCCATCAAAAGTACGAGAAGACTGCCGTGTTTGGCATCGTATATCATCATGTCATCGTTCCAGGTGCACTGGAACGCAGTGGTGTGAACGGCGATCTTGTTGAAGAAGTGTTCATGGGCCACGTAATTTCTGGCGCGACTGGACAAAGCCCGGCCCGCCAGGCAGCGCTCAAGGCTGGTCTCCCCAACACAATTCCATGTTCTGCCATTAACAAAGTGTGCGCCTCTGGCATGAAAGGTATGGAGGCCATCTGTTGTATGTATCGGAACTGACGAACTTGTTCAGCGGTGGCACTTGCCAGTCAATCGATCATGCTCGGTCTTCGAGACATTGTGATTGCCGGTGGCATGGAAAGCATGACGAACGCGCCCCACATGTCCAATACGTTGCGTGGTGGCGCTCGCTTCGGCGACGTCTCGTTTGTGGATGCCATCCAACGGGTAGAGTACACTCGACACCATCCATTCAAGACGTTGCTGATATTCGTTTGTGGTGGCCACAGGATGGTCTCAATGATGCCTATGACAACGTCCCCATGGGCAACTTTGCCGAAGCGACGGCAACCAAGTTTCACCTGTCGCGAGAGGACCAAGACGCATATGCTGCCAACAGCTACCGCAAGGCAGTGGTACGTGTTCCTTGGTGGTTTTGCAGGCCACGTCGTAGCGTGTCGTGTATTCGTGGAGTAGTTGCGTCTGTGGGGTTGAACGAGTGGCTGTCGGCGGTCCAATATCTCATTACGGTGGCGACAATCGATAGAATGCGACGGAGGAGGGGAAATTCAAGGCGGAAATAGTTCCTGTTCCCGTGGTGCTCAAGCGAGGTCGTCGCCAGTGCTCATTGATTTGACCAGTCCCTTGATTAGTGATTGTAGGTCATGCTCCGGCGTTAATTGACAAGGACGACGAGGCGTTTGCGCGGCCTGTCACGCTCGATTCGCTGGGGAACCTGCGTCCGTGCTTCAACCCGGCGAATTCGGTGACTGCCGGGAATGCGTCTCCGATTAGCGACGGTGCAGCGGCATTGGTGTTGGTGAGCCGTGAAAAGGCTGTGGAACTCGGGCTAGAGGCCAACATCCTGGCGATTGTGCGAGGCTTTGACGACGCTGCCCATGACCCGCAGTGGTTCACGACAGCTCCATCTGTCGCCATCCCCAAGGTAAACGAATTCTCTCGGCGAGGTATGAATGAATGGGTTTGGACCGACGGATGTGTGCGTCGCAGGCCCTAGAACGAGCTAGCATTGCTATGGCTGACGTCGACTACTTCGAAATCAACGAAGCATTCTCGGCGGTCGCCCTTGCCAACATGCAAATTCTCAACCTCGATGGGAACAAAGTGAACGTGTATGGCGGGGCTGTTGCTTTGGGCCACCCGTTGGGATGTTCGGGGGCACGCATCATCGTCACACTGTGCTCGGTCCTTGCTCAAGAACACGGGCGGTGAGGAGATTTGCTCAGTGATGTGTGTGGCTTACGTGCGAATAGATTTGGCTGTGCCGCCGTTTGCAATGGCGGCGGCGGGGCATCTGCCATCGTCATTGAACGTGTGCCATCCAACTAGGCCATGCGGCAACTGGAGCCAGACACATATTAATATTAGCTACAGCAACCCCGCTTGGATCATGTTGACTGTCTTAAGGTTTCTTCGTGAATGTGATGGTATTCGTTGCCGCACTCGGCTCTTTGTTCAGAAGACAGCGGGGCTAGCTACATCTGGCTCCACGTCTACATGGCTTGCCGTCGTACATAGGGGGTCAGTGCACTGGAGCTCCAACGCTGTCGTCAGCGGTGGTGGAACCAACGGGGTTTCGATCATAACACTGTGCACGCAACGGACAAAGGCAGGATACACGTGAAAAGCCCACTGGTATGCCTTGAAGTGCTGGTAAAATGTGCTGGTGAGGTACCGCACAATGCGCTGAACGTCGTCAAGAGAAAAGATGGCGACATACTCGGGTCGGTTGTCGACTGGTTGGACACCAGACGCTGGTCCCGGCATGTCGACGCTATGTTGTTTGATCAGGTTCTTGAACAAGGAATAATTGTCGACTAGTGACGGCAGCTTTGGCATTTGAGTGGGGTCGCCGTCCTTTCGTAGCTCGTCTGTGTCTGACACTGCTTCTTGAGCAGACGTTGCATGGTCGAAGACTTGGGCCATAATGGCAAAAAACAGCGCCAGCTTCTCGGCGGAAAACCCTGCCTCGTCCTTGGCAAACATGAAGTTGTAAAAGCAAAAGTCGACATACGCTCGGCTCCGGGGGTTATCTGCATAGTGTTCAACGTGCAGCAGTTCGCACAGAGCGGTGATGACAGCTGCGGGAGTCGACAGCGCCACAAGCATGTTCACTTGGTCTTTGGTCAGGACTTTCCACACCAATTCCCATCCCGGAGGATCCTTGGGCACTTCCACAACGACAGGTGCTTCCGCGACCGCTTCCTTCACTTCTTCCTTCTTGGCCATTGATTCCTCCGCTCACCGTCAAGTGTTGGCTCGAAGCGGTGCGCAGCGCTCCATTGAGTGCGAAAACGGTTAGGACTGTTACACAGCCGTTTCGCCCTGAAAGGGCACATGTGACAAGCGCCAGAAATCTTTGACCATCGCCACACACTCATTGAGCAGCAACGATGGCAACGAACTATAGAGGGAGTGAATTCGCCATAGCTAAGTATCGCTGTAGTCAATCAGCAGGGACACTGTATGGCATCAGGAGGGGTAGCACCGCTCTGCCTGCTGGGGGTCGGGTGAACGCGTCAGGTAGTCAACGCGCTCCCTCCTCCTCCTGGACAACTATATCGAGTCTACGGAAGGCGTCATGGCCGCAATGTGGCGCTGTCGCAGTTGCCGGCGGTACGGCGACCTTTGGTGTGGTGCACTTGAACAAACAGCTCAAGCGAGTCTGGCGTCATGCGTGGAGTTTTCCAAGTACACCGAGTGTCAATTCGCATGAGTGGAATCGTCATCGTTTATTGACCAGCGCGCAAATGTACATGGCATTCTACGCGTAGAAAGTTCCTGCACCACACCTGCTATCACAATCGCACATCACGTGGCGTCGACTGCGTTTCCTTGCGGCAGCTTGCCATGCTACTACAGCTTGCCATGCTACTACTGTACATGTGGAGACGAGCGACGACATATTCGGACAGAGTACTTGGTGGTCATGGAACAAGGTACACTTTATACAGTGAACCTGGACAAAGCCGACACTTGCAAAAATGCTTATACCGCCCTCTATAACATGATCTGTTTAGAATAGACTCTACCACCTGTATACTTCAATAAGTCAGAAATGCCATTTCTTTTGACCAATTGCAGTCTAGATACGATAATAACTGTGATTGACTGATAGAAATTCTCCTGATTATAGCTAATTAAGTTGGACGACCTCCCTTAATTTAAAAGGAATTGAATTTATTTAGAAAAGTCAGTATGAAACCATGTCGTCTTTTTCCGGTGTTCACTTTATTCTCTCAGACTTCATCGACGAGGACGTTGGACAGCCGGCGCGCCTCTCGGCAAAGTACCTCTGCCTCATGGATTAGTTGGTACATTTGCACATTGGGCCGATGGTAGTCGAACTGACGTGGAGAGTCGCGGCGCTCCCGGACTTGGACGTGACGACGTTGTACGACATCATGCAGCTTCGAGCGAACGTGTTCATTGTCGAGCAGACGTGCGTCTACCTAGACTTGGATGGCTACGACAAGGCGTGTCTGCATGTCATGGGAATGACGTCGTCCGACGCGGGTGCAAAGATCGTCGCTTACGCGCGCATCCTGCCTCCGAAGACCAAAGGCGACAAGCAAAATGTACCCATGATCGGTCGAGTCGTCGTGGCGCCGGAAGTGAGAGGCCAAGGACTCGCCAATGTCCTCATGCAGCAAGCGATTGCTGTGTGCGGCGATCGATGGCCACATGCTGGAATCGACATTGGAGCTCAAGCCTATTTGGAAGCGTTCTACACGCGATTAGGCTTCCAAACGACGTCCCCAGCACCGTACGACGAGGATGGCATCTTGCACATCGATATGCATAGGCCGTAAGCATCTGCATCCTTGTGTGATCACGTGCATCGTATTTTACGATAAACTACGCGCTTTCGTCGAATGAAAGGTGTGACTTTGTCCATGCATTCGCGTGATACATGCACATCAGGCTGGCGATGCTCGTTTGGTGTAGCCACGAGTGATGGCACTGCGATCGTGACCTCCACAAAAACTGCACATGGGGGATCTTGGAAGCTAAGAAATACACCGTCCAGCATGGACCAACAACGCGACTACGACCAGCGCTGCATTTCTGTATCGTAACTGATGCTGCGCCTGAACGCTTTAGCCGCACACACCGTGGCTCCACGTGGAGCAACCAACTCATGGAGACACCGTCGAGGAAATGTGCCGTGGACGTTCTGTTCGAGAGTGGAGGGAGCTGTCGCGTCCACTGGCATCTCTCGTGGTTGTTGAATTGCTGTGAATCACGATCGTAGCAAGGCTGCGTGCGAACTCCACGTATGGGTCAAACGAGTCGATTTACGACCAGGTGTGGACGACGACCGAGTGATGATGTCCTGGCAATTCAAACATCTTGGTTTTTGTATATCTGGGAACCTTTCCAATCAATCGTGTTCACGACATCGCGTCGGCCCCACGCGATCTTTCCCACCAAACGACGGTCTGTGATGGAAGTTCACTTTCTGGGCACTGGGCCCTCCACAGGCGTGCCGTCTATCCGGTGCCTCCTCAGCGACAAGTTGTGCACCGTGTGCCGTGACGCCCACACGAACGTCAATTCCAAGAACCACCGAAACAACCCGAGCTTGCTCGTCCGGCATAACGACCGGAACGTTCTCATCGACTGCGGCAAAACCTTTCGGGACAGCGTCCTGCGTGTATTTCCAGCGCACAAAATCAGCCATATCGACGCTGTCTTGCTCACGCATGGACACGCCGACGCTTGTCTTGGCTTGGACGACCTGCGGGAGCTGCAGGTGCTCCAAACCACCCGTTGTGAGGAGACGGGCGAGCTGAAAAAGATCGCAACGACGCCGCTGCTGCTGCACTGCCACGCACGGACGAAAGCGGAGGTTCTGCCCAAGTTTGAATACCTCATGGACAAACCACTCCTGCCGGGTGCCACGTACCGCTGGACGGCCAAGCTGGATTGGGCGCTGTTCGAAGATTTTGACACGTTTACTGCTGCAGGTATCACATTCACGGCCCTGCCAGTGCTGCACGGGAAAGGGTACATTTGCAACGGGTTTGAATTTGGCAGCGAAGTGGGCGCCCGGTTTGTGTACTTGTCCGATCTCACGGAGGTGACCGACGCAACAGTCGTCGCGTTGACCAGGTCGTCCGTGGCCAGACCGATTGACGTCCTCGTCATCGACGCGCTGTACTTGGAAGACGTTCATGGGGCGCACATGAACTACCCACAAGCGATGGAAGTGGCCAAGCTGCTGCGGCCCAAGAAAACCTACTTGATTGGCATGGGTGACGACTTCGACTATGCCCAAACGAACACTGTCATCCGTACGGAAATGCTGCAAAACCATGGCCTAGACGTCGAAATGTCGTTCGATGGGCTAACGGTACAGCTTGGCTGAGGAATGGGGTCGACGACGCAAGCAGTGCTAGCCAAGTGTCGAAGACGCAATGATTTTCTACTTCCCCAGGCCGCGAATGAGAGTGGTTTGGCAAGCGGACGGCGACGTAGCCATGAAGCTTAGTATATGCTTTGTGCATTTACCTACAAATGATCAGGCCGATGACATGCGGCGTTGACCAAATGTGGCGATAGTTCAAGTGCGGCACTTCCTGAACCGCTCGAGTTCTGTCGCCGGAAGTTCATACAGAGGAACCCTTGCTCGTCAAACGGTTCCGAGACTTTCGCAAACCCGAGGCTTGTGTAGAACTTTTCGAGAGTCGCCAAGCCGCAGACGTCAATCGCACGATGGGGCCAATGCGCTTGGCATACCTCGATGGCTTTGGTAACGAGGGTGTGTCCAACGCCAGCGCCGCGCGCGTGCGTCGCAACGACGACCCGGCCGATGCTCGGTTCAGCTTTTTCGGGGCCAAGGGTGTGTGGAGGAACGAGGCGAGCGTACGCAACCAACTCGTGGTTCTGGTCCCGCCCGACGAGGTGGAAGCAAACTTGGTCGTGACCGTCAAGGTCGCCCAGGACCTTTTGCATTTCCACGACAAATGTGTTGGCCCGAAGTTGGAGGATGTCGTAGAGTGCGCATACGGTCAAGTCATAGAACGATGAGCACGTCCACTCGATCGTCGACGGGCTGACCTTCGCCATTTTTCAATCTCCCGATCCGCCTTTCAAGTGCCTTGGTTGCGATGTTTTCAGTGGCTGCATAAGACTCACCCAATGAAAAAAAAGCAAATTGGATTTGACCAGCGGATGGTGCCTCTCCCAAATTGCAAGGATTTCACGGCGTACAGACTCCACGGCGGCCAGCGATGACCCTGTTGTCGGTACAACGTAGCTGCGTTGGCCATGGTCTAGCACGCAAGAGCCGCTTGAAGACGCGGGTGAGGTTCTACTGTGTTCCGTCGTGTTAGCCGCGTCAAACTGTGACGACGTTAGAGTGTGCGACATTTCCTGTGTCTGTGTTGAGTGAAACACTAGCCGTAGTGCATGTCGACATGCATGATTCCGTCTTCGTCGTACGGTTCGGACACTGTCTTGAAGCCCAAGCTCACGTAAAACGACTCGAGCCGCTGTTGCGCGCCAATTTCAATGCCCTCTGTCGGCCATAGCTTCTGGGATTCCGCCATCGCCTTCTTCATGAGGACACGCCCTCTGCCCGTGCCTCGCGATTCGGGTGGCACCACGACCCGACTGATGATGGGCCGCTTTTGGTGTGGGCCCTTGAGGAGGGGCGGGATGAGGCGAGCATACGCCGTGATCGATCCGTCCGATCCAACGCCGACGAGGTGCCAGCACCGCTTGTCGTATCCATCGACTTCAAACCAAATACATTCTTGCTCCACGACGAACACGCGTGATCGCAGCTGCATCGCGTCGTACAATGTCGTCACGGTCATGTCTTGGAACGGCACGCACGTCCATTCAATCGCATCGTCGTCGCCGGCCTCGGACATCGGAAAACGGTATGTGGTGACATCGACGGGTGCGCTTCAAGTGAAACCTCTCACCACATTTAGTGTCCTAGTTTTAACCAATCAAGCGCAAATCATGAGAATTCATAAGCAACAATTGGTTAAAATTCATGCATAAGCAGCTCACCGACGACCTTGTCGATTTGGTGTACTATTCAAAAGCGCCCGAAACGTCGCATTCAAGATCGGGCGATCGATGGGGGCAGGGCTGCTGTCCAAGCCAGCCGACGTAGCCAGCGTCAGCTACGAGGCCATTCGTGTAGCCCCGTCATCAGAAGTTGCGCAGTGGTTTGAAAACCTTGGCAACGAGTTCCATGAGTACGCGACAGCGACGTTGAGCCACGGCATCGATGGCCCCTTGCTGCGATCCCTCGGGGCGAGCGACCTTCCGCTTGTGTTGGAGTCGCTGGGGGTGACGGACCCCCTGCATGTCCGCCTTGTCGCCACCTTCTTTCAGCAGTTTAAAACTGCTCAGCGAGCCGCTGAACGGCCTGAGGCAGTGGCTGTCGAGCATCACACGGTCAAACCATCGCCGAGACAAAATCCAATGATGACGAAACAAGTGCCATTCCGCAAAACGACGCTCGCCATGCCGTCACCACACAAGCACCCCCCACACTCGAGGAACGTACGGTCCAAGTCGGAGGCATTCGTTTCGTTGCCCATTCCGTCTAGCGACTACCAGGCGTACTTTTCCTATGTTGTCGGGCCAGACGAGAACGGCCACCCCATCAAGGATCGCGTCGGCGCGATCCATGCGGCGCTCATTTCCAAGTGCGTCGACGTGTTCAAGTCCATAGTTTGGATAACAATGTGGTTGTTTGGCAGGGGCGTTGTCGTGTGGTTTGATTCGGAAAAGGCCGTGTCGTCGCCCAAGTTGATCGACCAAGGTCTTCTGCACTCGTCCGTGGTCGTGGTGTTTCTCACGCGAAGCTACATGAACCAAGTCAATGGCGACGGCGTCCTTGCTTCCTGTCAGTACGAGTTTACGATGGCGCTGCGACATCAAACGATGAGCCACATGGTGTTTTGTGTCCTGGAAGAAGACATGATGCGCTACGTACGTTCTTTCCATCCCCTTTCGAAGGTTGCGTGACGAGACAGCGGTGGTGGTGCGCCAACAGGATAGCCTCACGGGGGAGTTTCGTGAATTGGCCGGCGACGCGGCGTGCATGGACTTCACGGACGACAGCTTCCTCGACGAGGCGTGTAACGAGCTCGCGGAGACCATCACGCGGCTCGACGCGACCAAAGACCAATTCAGTCAGCCAAACGACGTGGCGCGATGGGGCGTGACTGCGCTCGTCCGGTTCCTCAAGCAGCCAACGACGCCACCGGAGCTGATCGACGAAATCCTCCATGCGTTGGTCATGATGTCGTTGCAGAGTCGGCTCGCCGACAAAATGGTCACAAAAGGTATCCTCCCGCTCTTGCTGACCATGATCAAGTTGCGCCACCACAACTCGATGACAGGTACGTCGCACCGGACTTCAGTTCGCAGGCGAGTCACGCGGACGATTCTAGACCGAGGGGTGGAGCTCCTTCTGTTGAATCTAAAAATCCTCGCCCGGACAAACGCAGTCACTCGACGTAAAACGACTACTCTCGTGCACGAAATGGGCCTCCTTCCGGACTTCATGGACCTTCTCAAGGTAGACATTCTGGCAGTCTTCCAAAAGCAATCCTTTCCTAGCCTGCATGACTGATGCGTGCTGCCCAAAGGATGGCCCCGGCGCGACGAAAGAAAACACAGCCGGAATGCTGCGCAATATGTTTTGTGCTGGCGAACGCATGGCCGCCCTTCCCGACGTCACGACAAGCGAGCACTTCAAGACGTGTGTGGCCACATTCTTATCGATGCTTGTTCACGGGAACGTAAACCAACAGGTACGTAGCGCGTTGTCCATCCAGGTTACATGCGCCGTGTGTTCGATGAAGCGATGAACGACTGTTTTGGATGTAGTACGAAGCAGCGTCGGCGCTGAGTGCATTCGCCGCGCATCGGGATTTCCAAACGCTCATTGTGCGTGCCAACGGCATTCGCATTTGCCTCGCCCAGGTCATGCAAGCAGACTTGAACGAATGTGTCCGGGATCACGTGGCCATGATTCTCCGGTTCCTGAGCGGGACGGAAGGAAACCAGCGAGAGATCGGAGCGGAAGGAGGCGTGGAAGCGTTCTTGACGTTACTGGAGAGCGGGTCGACCTGCCAGCGAGGTAGCGCGATCGTTTGGCTGACTCGCGCCGCTTCATCAAAAATGGGACTAGAAACGAGTGCAGGGGCGCTCAACTGGCTCATGGAATGCGAAGACAATCGATGTATTCTCGCTGGCGACGGTGGCGTTCCGACATTGCTCAAGTTCATGAAGTCCGACACGACGCTAGTACGACGTCATTGCTGCATCCAGCATTCACACATGCGGCCAACCTGGCGACGTAGTTCATCAGCCAACAAGCTATCAACGCCCTGAGCAAGCTGGCCCATCACAGCCATTACCACAGCGACTTGGCGGCGGCCGGTGCCTTGGGTACGTGACTGCAACGACACGCCATGCTCATGTCATGTGAATGATGCGTAGAGCCGTGTCTGGCGGTGCTGGAAACGGGGGTGGACGGCCAAAAGACGGCCGCAGCGCACATTTTGTCGGCGATTGCGTCGACGGACTTGATCGACGGCATGATCAAGGCGATTCCAATCACGGTCAAGTTGTTTCACCGAGGATCGACGGTTCAGAAACGATTGGCGGTGGACGTGCTCTCCAAGCTGTGTCGGCGCAAACAGTTCAAACAAACGATCCTGAACCTTGGCATACCCGAAGGTGCCCGTTCAACTTGCATTCAAATCCACATGCTAGGATCTTCACGTGGCACGATGGTGTTCTAGACGTCCTGCTGCTGCCGTAGCGCCACTTACTGCGGAGTCCCCTCGGCACAGACACGCTGTAGCGCGTCGCCGAACGCAGTCCACCCTCGCACCCACGTCTCGATGGGAATGTCGATGTTATGTGCACCCTACCATAAGAATGAGGACGAATCGCACAGTTCGCTCGAATTCGTACCATGTTGAGCTCAAAGTAGCTCCTCGCCGTGTCGATTTTCGATGGCCGAGCTGCGACAAACACACGAATGCCCGTCGCTGCTTCAGCCGCGTCGCGTGCAGCAGTCACTTGGGCCACTGACCCAGGCAAGTACACGTGCACCATCGACACGTGTGGAACGGGCGGGTCGAAACTGATGACGGGTACGGCCTGCGTGACGGCAGCGACCACGGCTTGCATTTGCCGGCGGCGGGACTCAAATGTTTGACGGGGATATCGACGGAACCCAGCCCACGACGACACGGCGTAGGGCAGTTGCGAGTACAAGTTGCCCCCGAAGCGGCGAAGCCAGACCTGGGCTGCATCGATGAACGCATTGTCCCCGAGCAGCATGGCGCCCGTGATCCCGCCCAAGCCCTTGTAGAACGATACGTAGATCGAGTCGAAGAGGGCTGTGACTTCGTGGATCGAGTTGGTCGAGTAGCCAGCTTCCGCTGCAGCGAAGCGTTAGCATGCCATACGCAATCATGATGACAGGATGCGACGTACCTTCCCAAAGACGGGCGCCATCCATGTGCACTGCCGCCCCGCGACTACGGGCAAGCTGAGTCATGCGTTGGAGCTGGTCGAACGGAATCAATTTGCCGCCGATTTCACGCTCAGGCAATTCGATCACTACCGCCGCAGGGGGCGACGACGGAATGTTCGTGTGGGTGTCGACGTCAGCCACCGACAGACTGGGGTGAAAGCCGCCGGGAGGCACAACAGCTGTCGGCGGCGGCACGATGATAGCCTCGAGGTTCCAGAGGTGCTTGAACGCGTCTTGTTCGTGCAAGTGCAAGTGCGAATTATGACGCGCAACAAAGGCCGTACGTTTGGTATTTTCCGCGTGAATCTTGAGCGCGATGCCTTGCGCCATGACTCCAGATGGGACGAAGAGGGCGCGAGGTTTACCCAAACGCGCGGCCACTTCGCCCTGAAACGTGTTGAGCCATGACGACGGGTTCGAAAAGTCGCCGTACACGTCAAACGCCGTGATTCCCAGCGACTGAGCGTCCTCGCTGAGTTGAGAAAGCAACTCGACGGGCGTCTTCGGCTTGTGGGCGCTTGTTAGCGTCACTGGCGCTGTCGTCATGGCCCGCCCCGCGTGCTGGTTGCCGAGGGAATCGATTCCACAATGCCGTCCCTCTGAGTCTGATAACGCAGTTGTTGTCCAGATTAAATAAGCACATTCATCTATTCCAACGTCGAAGTTGTATTCCTCATTTTTGAGTACTGCTACTATTTCAAAGTTACTACGTACAAGACGACATGGAATAACGCGTTTACTGTTAATTTAACAATTGGTTGGGCTGAGGTCGCCTGTGGGTGGTGCCCCTGTGGGGCCTCTCGCGGCATGCTGAACATTACGCCCAGCCACATGGGTAGTGTACTCGGCGTAAAGAGGTCCCCCTCTTCGGGGGAGATATGGCGGGTAACGTTACCCAATAAGTTGGGGCGTCGCGGGGGCAGTGGATGGGAGGGGCGGACGGGGGTCACCGCAACATGAGATGGTCTACAAGAGTTGAGGTCAGTCGTCAAGTTTTAGGGTGAAACGCACCTTCTCCAACCATGCTAACGATGGTCCCCCGCAGGGCTTTGTGTCGACACAGCCGCTCGAGGACTTGTTTTGCTGCTTGCTTCTGCGAGAGTGTGCCAGAATTGTATAACTTCACGACCGACGGAATCGTGTCGGTCATGCCTGCCATGGCTTCTGTGGATGCGACGGCGAGGAGAATGCTGCACGCTGCAGTCTTTTGGCTGTCGTTGCCAGTCTCCATGATGGCGACACACGGCCCGAGCACTCCCGCCTGGGCCAACGGCACTTGGAACTCGGAATGGGGAGCGAGTTTGCTGAGGGCGCTGATGGATTGCTGCCGGACAAACTGCCACCACCACGCCAGAGAGTAAGCTGGGCCATCTCAGGGATTGGAGAAGGGGGCACCTTTTGGCCACGAACTACGAAATTGAGCAAGGTGCGAATGCCTCGTTCTTTCACCAGGATCGTTCGGTTCTCGGGCACTTCCATGAGCCAATTTAACGCAGCGGAGCTCGTTTCTATCGCCACGATGGGTTTCAATGTGGACTCGTTGCGCACAGTAAGGACGGGTGAACAAACCTCGTTGCGCCGGCGTGCCATTTTGAAGCAAGGTCAAGAATGCCACCACGCCGCCTTCGATGCCGATTTCTCGCTGGTTTTCTTCGGTCGCGCTGAGGCACCGCAACACGACCGCCGCCTTTTCACGGACGCCTTCCACAGTCGACGGACATGTCATTTGAGCCATACAGACGCGGATGCCGTTTTCCTTGACAATGGATGGCTGGTATTCTTTGTTTAGAGCAATCGCTCCGAGAGCTCCCCCCGCTTCGTACTTGAAGCTCTGGGTTAGGCCCTTGACGTAACGACGCACACGCACCTGTTGGGACGATGTGCCGCGCTCAAGAAGCTGCACCAGCATTGTGACAAGCTCTTGGAACCACTCGTTCTTCTCAAACACTTTGATTCCGCCGCCTGAAAACAGGTTGCGCACAAGTCCTGCCGCGTGTTCCTTCGTCAGTCCTTCTCCTTCCTATGATGGCAAATGTCGTTTGAGTTTCCAGCGGACTGCAAAAATAATGCCGTCAGAGGGTAGAGCACCTTGAGTAGCATCGTTAGCAGCGGCATCATGTGCCTCGATTCGATCAACGTGACGATCTTTCGCCGGTAGATACAGCTCGTGCGGGCAATGATTTTGAGCAGCAAGAGGGCGAGCTCCGTGTTGGTCACTACAGCACCACCGCCATGCAACGTATTATACTTCTGGGCGTATGGAAATCGGAATGGATGTAAGGCCAGCAACACTCTTTACCTGAGAGTTTACTCGTCCCGATGAGCCGCGTTAGCGCAGGCAACAAGCCTTTGACCACCATCTTGTCAGCGAACGGAGCGAGCATGGCCAGCCCGACGAGGCGCCTCATCACTTTCGTGCACGTTGGTCGCGGGGTAAGCGAATTCTTGAGGATGCGAATTAAATCTTTCACGCCAGCAAGGTCCATGTCAACGGGCGTGCGGGGCATGGCGTTCAACGCGCGAATCTTCTCGGCCAGTTCGTCGCATCCAACGTCAAGAAGCGTCTCGTCCGTGAAGTCCAAGCACTCGCAGTCGCCGACAATCTCCCGCCACTCCCCCGTCAGGTTGTCCTATGTCGTGGGGTTCATCAGCCAAGCGGCTCGCCGTCGTCGACCAGCAACGTACGTAGCGCTTCATGTCTTCCTCCATGACACACAGGACGATATGGGTCATGGTTTGGGTCGCCAACGCTTGGCAAAACTCGTACTGGTTGCTGTCCAAAAGACCATCGCTGTTGACTTGATTCATGTACGCCCGCGTGAGGAACACCACCACAACGCTTGAGCTGAGCACGCCATGGTCGATCATCTTACTTGACGCCACGTTCTTTTCCGCGTCAAACCAGACGAGGAGGCCCCTAGATGCACGTTATCGCCCATCAGGCCATTGCCGCCGCCAGGATGACCACGTCCTCAAGCGTACTTGGCCACGAGGGACTTGTGGATGGCCGACACACGATCTTTCATTGACCGGCCCAAGCTGTCCTTCCCCGCCGCGTACGCGAAATACACGTGATATTCGGTCGGCATCGCGTGGATGTCGTCGGCTTGCCGCGCTTTCTGCAAAATCATGTCGACCGACCGACGACGCTGCGCAGCTTCCTGCGTTTGCTGCTGGATCGTCCCGGTCTGCAAGTTGAGTTTGGACGCTCTCCGGGACAAGTCGCGGGATGACATTTCCTGCCGATACTTGGGCATGGCACTTGCCGCCGCGCCCATCTTTGGACGAGACGTTTATCTACCGCCTGCACCAAGTGCAGCTATTTTTGGCCAACCATGTTCATGTGACACAAACGAAATTACGTGCGTGGGAATTGTCACTGGGGAAGAGTGAAATGCTTGTCGATTGCGTCGAGCCAAAGATGTTCTCGCAGATAAGCTCTCCAGGTGGAAAGACCCCCCTCCCCGCGCCATCTTGGGGAAGGCGCATGAACGAATCTATGCTTCAAATTCATGCGGGTGGAAGGACATTGTAAGTTAAAGCCAGTCGGCGCTCAAGCTGGGGCAATGGTAGCTGCAGGCTCAATGGCACTCCCTGGCACTGGTGTCGCTACATCGACTAACGGGATATTTGGTTGGACTGGTGCAGAACAGTTGTCGCGCTGCTCGGGAGTTGATAAAGCTGAAGTAGCGACTGGGGGGTTGGCAGTTGAACCGGCAACAGGGGTGGACTGGATGGAACTATCGATGGCCAGGGAAGCTCGAAGCGCGGCAAGCGCTTCCTCGCTAGTTTCTTGCTTGTCGACAGAGTGTCCGATGGACGTTCGTCGGACTTTTCGGCTACTCATGGACCGCGACGACGGCGATGGCGCGGCGAGTTTGGGTGAAGTGACCGGCAGTGCCACGCCAAGTTGCTTTTCCTTAAACGATTTGAAGAACAACGCGATCTTCTTGGCGTGGATCGCGTTCGTGACCCCGAGTGTTTCGACAATCGACGTCACTTCGTCGATCCCGAGCGCCGAGAGGAGATGGCCGTCGATGCCGTTCTCGATGATCTTGGGCCCGTACGGCTCGTACGCCGCCCCAAACCCGGTGACAATCGCAGCAATTTCCGATGCCAAATACTTGTTGATTGTGTCAAAGTCGACGTCGGTGCCCTCCGCCTCTCCGGCCGGCTTGGACAGAGTCCCAGCCCCCATCGCGTCTTTGACTGGCGTCGAGAATCTGTTTGCCCAAGCTAAGTTTAGCCACCCAGTGTCCGCATTTAGATGAGTATGCAGCATCATCTCATCCGCGAAGCGGCCACAGCTTTTTGGTGGCAACTATGCTCTGCGTCGCTACTCAAATCAGTAAGGGGGGAGCTCCTCGGCTGAGCTACAGTAGCACCTCCCCCGTAAAACAAAACTCTGTTGCAGTGAAAGGTTGATCCATCTCTAATCGATGGTGGTTGCGTTTGATCTTACTTGAGCTTACTCGACGGCCACCGTGTGCGCGCTTTGGTCGGACTCCGCAGCACCGGCAATTTGCTCGTCCGAACTGTGTGTCGTGGCAACTTGGATGGGCCTTTTAACGGCCGCAGCTGCTGCATCTTCGTCGGCGACGAGTTGTAGTACAGTCCTGTGGTGATGGCGGGGGTCACAGTCGCGTTCGTTGTGATGGAGGTGCCGTTGTAGATCGATTTGGGAACGACGGCGGGCAGCAAGACCGAGCTGAGAGTGTTCTTGAGTTCCATGGGCGGCGGCGGCCTGTCTTGGGCCGCAAATACTCGTTCGAGCGACCCGTTGTGTTTCTCAATAGCTTTTTGAAGGTGACCAACCGAACTCACCAAGCGGTCGAGTTGGAGGTCGTGGGCTCGCATGCGTTTGGTCAGTTCGACGTTCACCGAGTTTGCAATGAGTGTGGCGAGCTGGGATATCTGGGCGACGTCTGTGGTGAAGATCGGAAGCACCGCGACGGACGAAGATGAGGGGGAATCCGAGTGGAGGGAGGGGGTGCTGTGGGAGGCCCATCGAGGTGGCCGGACTGGGACCGGGTTGCGTGGGATTGCATGTCGTTGGCGCCGTCGTCGCCGAACCTCCGCGACGACTTCGAGTAGGTGCAGTCGACATAAATACACTCGCCAGAAGCGCTGCAGTCGTCGAGCTGCTTGCTGCTGTCGTTGAGTAAATGGTGGTTTGATTGCTTTGACGCGGGGATTCATGGTCGGCGCAGGTCTCGCCTTTCCTTTTTCGCTCATCGTGTTCTTTTTCAAGCCACGAGCAATCGCAGCGTACAGGCGCATGCGGCCGCGATAGACATGCCAGAACCGCTGCAGGCGACACGCTGCCGTCCGATGGACCACCGTCCATGAAGTAGCTGTGATCACGTGCTTTTTGCTCTGTCTTGGATTCTGACGGACAAACGCCACCACATCGCGCAATCGTTGCCTGCACCGAAACACATGCCAAAACTTTTGGACTGTTCGAGCCGCCTTGTGGTGCATTGGCCTCCATTCGTGTCGTTGGTTGGATGGCTTTGTCGTGTGCCGATGGTGTTTTCGCTGGCGGACGACCTCTACCACCTCCTGTACTCGCTGTCTGCCTCGATAGATGTGCCACACCCGCTGCAAAATTCTCGCTGCATTCCGCTCGGCTTCGTTTTGTCTTTGGGACGTTTTGGCTGCATAGGTTTGTTTGCGCCGTGCTACGGCCGCAACTTGCCGCACACGTTGTTTGCATTTGTACACATGCCACACTCGCTGCACCCGCCGTACCGCCACATCGCGACCAGAGGCCTCCACCCGGCGAACAGGATAGTCTTGTCGACATCTCGACACGTACAAGCGTCCTCGCATTTGAATTCGGATCGCTGCGCGTTGTGGGGTCAGCGGCCGCGCCGCCAACGACGTTGCTCGAAGTGGGCGGGAAGCAGCTGCCATTTGCCGACATCGACGGTTCGTCACGTACACGCGGCCGCATTTCTGGATGCGCGTTGCCGCGACGTCCCTTCGTTTCCGTCGCCGGGTTGATTCCCGGCGATACCAACGTTGGATATGGTGGACCGATTCGTTGGTCGATGGCGTGCGTTGTCGCAGGGCGGCGTTGGACGTCGCCACCCCTTGTAATTGTTTTTGAATCTGGTCCTGGATCGACTGCTGAATCATCTTGGTTTGGGCTTCATGGTCTCTCTCCCGTTGTACGCGGATGGCGGCATCTCGCTCCAGCCGCCGCCGAGCGTCCAATTCCCGATGCATCTGTGCCTCCGCCTAACAAAGACACGGTCGTTTAACACTGACAATGGCCTGTACAACCAAGCGTCAAATGATGAGCAATTGTGTCATCGACACCATCCACGAAGAGATGCGACGACCGTAGACATGAAGCACCACCGCACCTCAAGTCGAGCCGCGTGGGCCGCATCGGCGTTCGCTTTCGCTCGTTTGAGAGCTTGCTTGAGTTTCACAACAGACCCAATGCTGGAGCTCTTCGTCTTGGACGACTCTTTCGGCGTGTTGGCGTGAAAGCAGCCTTGCAGATCGAAGTACCCTGTGTCTGTAATGTAGTGCCCGTCGGCATCGTAGTAGCCCACAGGGGTCGTCGACGGGTCATCGATATGGGGAAAGAACGATCCGTCAGGGCTGTAGAACCCTCCATCGGGCAGAATGTAGTTGCCTTGGTCGTCGTAGTGCCCTGGCTCGGTCTCGTTCACTTCCAGGGACGCTGAGGTCTCACGTGGTGCGGCTATTCCCGAACTGGAAGATGCTGCCGCCAACTTATTCCTCCAGTGAGGGTCCTCGCCATCACTGGTGTCGTCCAGTGCCAGCGCAGTGGACGAAGGATCTGCTAGTTGTCGAGAGTTACAAGTCGTGCTGTCCTCACGACGACTACCTGCCGACGTGGTCCAGCTGTCTTCTTGCATGTCGACGTAACTCGTCGGAAATAGCCCTTCATGATGGTCGGGGTCGGACGAGAGGTACCCGCGGCACCATCCGTCCTCGAGGTTCTCGACGATGACGACTACGTTTCCCGCGCGAAGTGCCAACTCGTCGGGCTCTATAGAGGTTGTCGGATGGACTTCGTAACGACGGAATGGCTCGTGCTCGTACCGCGAGGAACGTAATCAAAGGTCGCCTTTGCCCGTCGCGCAATCTTCTGCGGCTTGGGTTTCGCGGTTGGTCGGTAGGGTGGCAAGTGTGACGGAGGCAATGCCGAGATGGTGGACGGTGGGGGTAGGTTGACGCTGCGGATGTAGTTGCTTGGAAACAAGCCTACTTGTGATGGGTTGGACTCGAGAAAGCCCTGGCACCATCCGTCGTCTTGCTCGTGGGTGACGTATACGACGTCTCCTTGACGCAGCTCCAGTTCGTCAGGCTCGTCAGGTGTGTAATTGTACAGGGCCGTGGCCTTTATCGTCGCCGTCGACGACCGCGGCGGCATCGCGCATGTAGATGGCGGTGTCCGTTTCACTTGGGCAGGGAATGTAACCGGTGTCCGGATACAATCGCAAGGCAAAAGAATATATTATTGAGTCCAAGATATCTTGAAAAATGTATGCTGGATTTGAAAAAACACGAAAAAATTAGCTGAGAACGAACTGGACGCTGGCAGCAGCTTGACTGAAGGTGACACACTCGACCACGGTCGACGAGTTGCCCAACCCAGCCGCGCGGGCGCTGCATCTCTGCCGTCGAGACATCATGGGATGCAATAACTCCAAGGAAGAAGACGTCCAGAACCCTCGCATGCAGCCCGTGAGGGCGTCGGGGCTCGATCACATGCCCGACGACCTCGCGTCCGACCTTGTGCAACACACCATCGTCAAGGACATTTCAGACACGTTCGAGTTCCTCGACGTGATCGGGGAAGGATCGTTTGGAAGCGTGATGAAGGCGACGAACAAGAAAACCAACAAGACGTGGGCTGTCAAGGTCGTGGAGCTCAACAACGAACTCGACAAGGTGCCGTGCCGTCGCCTCGTGTAGCTGACTCACGTGATGGTTGTCCACAGAAAGCGCTCCTGAACGAAATCGGGATCGTCAAGCGTCTCCAGCACCCCAACATTGTCCGCGTGATTGCGTCGTACGAAGACTCGAAACGCATGTACATGGTGATGCAACTGCTGCCGGGGGCCGAACTCTTTACGCACTTGCATGTGCGGGGTCGACAGTTCAACGAGGCCGAAGTCCGCAAGTTGATTCTGTGCCTCTTGCGCGCCGTGTCGTACCTGCATTCGAATCAAATCACGGTTTGTTACCCTTCCCATTCACGTGTTGCGCTCACGGCCGGCCATCGTGTGGCAGCACCGCGACTTGAAGCTGGAAAACCTTCTCCTGGAGAACGAGAACCAGCCGACGTCGCTCAAGCTGATCGATTTCGGGCTGAGTAAGTTTGTGAAAAAGGGCGAACGCATGCAGCAGTCCCTTGGCACGATCGGTACGCTGCTTTACCTCATCGAAAGGCGACGTCCGCGCGACTCAAAATCGCGTCCTGCCTAGACTACGTGGCTCCAGAAGTCCTCGACGGCGACTACAATGAAGTACGATCTTCTGCGCATGCGGCATGGCATGCGGAATCGATCGACAATGGTTCATGTGCTGATAGAAATGCGATCTGTGGAGCGTGGGGGTGATCTGCTACGAGCTTGTGACGCGGGTGTCGCCGTTCCACGGCGAAACAAACGACGACACGATGCACAAGATCTTTGACGGAATCAAGCCGTCGTTTTTCCACGGTGAGGTGTGGCAGACAGTGTCACCCGACTGCATCCACTTTATCAAGTCGCTGATTCAGGAAGACCCGTCCGGTACGTTCTCGCCCTACTGGGCTCCTCTTTCAAGCGCGTGGTGCACACCTCGATAGAGCGTCTGTCGGCTGAGCAAGCTCTCAACCACCGCTGGATTCGGACGTCGGCGACCGGCGTTATCGACGACAACAAGCGCCAACTGTTCATGAAAATGGTCTCATTTGGCAAGAACTGTAGCCAACTCAAGAGCACGGCCATGCTGAGCGTCGCGATGGGTGTCAGCGAAGAGCACATCAAGCCCGAGATTGTGTCGGAGGTCTTTCACAGCATGGACAAGGACAAGGACGGGACCCTCAACGCGGACGAGTTTTGTGAGGCCCTCGAGGAGTACGGGATCGGCCACGATGAAGCGCTCGGGGTGTTTTCCCGCATGGATCAGGTGCGCTCCTTGAATCTTGGTGGAGGTGTGCCATCTCGTCCACACCATTCGCGGTTCTCGAAGGCTCCGTGGACGCCGAGATGCCGGAGATGCTCGACGAGGATGGAGGTCTCACAACGTGTTTTGGATAGAGCAAACGCGGCAAAATCAACTACATTGAGTTTGTCGCGGCCGTCCTGGACGAGTTTGGCGACGATACGATGAAGGAAGCGTTTGCCATCCTCGACGCGGAGAAGACGGGGCGAATTTCCGTTGTCGGGCTCCAAAGTGTGTTCAAGAATGCCAAAGAAGCTGACTTGAAGGCGATGGTGGCGAGCGCAGACGTCAAGGGCGACGGCTCCGTGGACTTTGAGGAGTTTAAGCTCATGTTTGCCCCGGACGCGCCACCGACCAAGCCGTCGCTCGCGACGATCACTGAAACACCGCCGTCGCCGTCGTCAGCAATAAACTTTGTCGCGCAGTCGAGCCAAGCGGCGCTACTCGGCGCCGGCGACAGCAGCGTGATGAGCGATGCCGCTGTTCCGCTCCAACCTGCAGGTGTTCCTCCTGCCTAGTCGTGGACAGCGAAGGAGACGAATTTGGGGGTGCGATGGCTGCTGATAGAAACCTGCGCGTAATTTAACAAGTTGGACCAAGAGGTGGTGCCGCGCTGTGCGATACAGGACAAATGGACTCGAGACATTGGACAGGAGTTTCCACATGCGACTGTTTGCTGTCGTCGGTAGTGTGCGAATCGCGCTTGCCGCTGCGAACGACGATGGGACTGGAGCTGTACCCCACCGTGGCACGACAGCCCCTCGATGCGTTGACCTGGGTCAGTTGGCGACGGCGCAGTTTGCTGGACGCAAGCCACCCTTGCCAGCGGTGCATGCAAAAGTGTTGCGATGCATTGTGGCGATTCGAACGCATCGATGGGATCGCAGCGCCGGTGGACGGTGAGAGCGCAGGGATGTAGATACAAGTTATGGGGCTCCTTCTGTCTTTCCCAGTGGGACTTGCACGTCTTCTGCAGCTGTCGCGGCTCGAGCGGGTGACGCTTCCTGGCGACGGAATTGCCGCGCCCACAGTCGACGCCGCACGTTGGACGTCATAATGCGTTCGCTCACCCACGGGCGGTCGAACGACGCTGCATACACCCACCCTTCCGCGTCCCCCAGCGCCACGTTGAACTCCCATGGCCCGCATTCTTTGTATCCGACTGGAGTGTCCAACACAGCTTCCACGAATGTGGCGCCGGACGTTTGTGGACTCGAGTCGTTCACCCACGGCGCGGGGTCGCTTCCCTTGAGGTTAGACGAGCTCCACCCCCCTGCAACTCCGCGCCGCTCGTGCTCCCAAATTTGCATCACAATCAAGTTGGTGGCTTCTTCTTCGGACAGTAGCGCCACGGCCAGATGCACACAAGGTTGCACCTATCGGGATCATGCGTTGAGGGCAGGCACGTGGATGCAGGGCTTACTCGCTGGCTGGCGTAGTCTTTGCACACGTCGACAGGATACGGCTGAATCGCCATGTCAGCCAAAGTCGCGGCTCCTTGCCACTTGGATATATCGAGCTTCAACGTCCCTAGGTGGTCGTCGGGCTTTGCCATATCATGGTCTTTCACTTGGATCTCGAGGTATTCGAATGTGCTGATCTCCTCCGTCGTCAACACGAACTCGAATTGCTCGCGCCGCCAGCTCGGATTGAGCGACTTGACCACGACAGTGCTGCGCAGGAGATGGTCGCCAACACGAAAGACGATGTAGGGATCACTGGCACCGCCCGCGAGAATCGAATCCCCGACAGGGAGGTCAGTCGCCTTATCCAGCACAATGCGGAGGTAGCGACGGTCGCTTCGCGGCTCGGACGGTGCGAGAAACGGGAACGTGGACGGGTGAAAGAGCTGGCGCATGGAGGTTGCCAAGTGTGCCCTCTCAGTGCGAATGTTTATCACGCAAGCGTCCGTCCAAAAGGTGGTCAAAATAGTTTAACATTTTTGTTCGCAAGGATTTTGTATGGTGTATTGAATTTCGCGCATGGGTGTATTTGTTAAAATATCTTGCAGAGGCTTGTGCGCTATCGGGGTTTGGAGAGTGGCTTTGCGCAAGCTGGAGTGGAGTGTCCCAAGAGACAAACCGGTGGCTTCGGCAAGCACTCGCTTGGTCGAGCGCTGAAGCTACGGCCTTTCGCCCACAAGATCCGTGATCTCGACGTGTGTGTTGGTCGGCTCCACCCAACCCGGCCGCGTTTGTATGATGCTGCCGCTGTGGTGCTCCCGCCACGCCTTGGAATTGATGGCACGGTGTATGTCCAATACGTCGGAGGTTGTGGTGAAGACAGAGAGACGAACACTGAGAAAAGGAATTTGATACTATTTCGTCAATGTTTTGATTTTTCTGTACTTCAAAACCAGGTGCTTCGTCGGTTCCAGAGTAAATTGACATACTCCTGTACCACGCAGGACTACAATGTTTCAGAAACCTCAAAAAACAATTACTTGTCCAATCTTGATGCGCTAAATCATGTTCGAAAGAGAATGAAAAATTAGAGGTATTGTCGATGGACTCCACAGAAGGGCTCTGATTGAAGTATTTTTCGCAGATTTATTCAATAATGCATCATGTCTCCCCTCCGCTCGTCTACGCACTGTACTGCACTGAAGTATTTTGGACAGAGCGAACAAAATATAAATTTTGAGAGTGTTATACAATTTCTGAGAGGGTTTGAACGAAGTGCATTTTGGAGGGTAATTTGGGAAGGTCGAACCGAGGTACAGTACAGACAGTACTTACAGAGTACAGTACTTCTCCGCCATGAAATCAATTCCTCGTCTTTTAGCCAATCGGTCCCGACTCTTCCAACTAGTTTTGACCAATGAAATCACTCGTTTAACCCAACAAGCGAGTTGCAAGGGCAGAACGCCATCGGCCCAAGCAG